AATTGAATTGTGGTTGACCTCATTTTCCAAAAAGATGAAGAAATTTCTTCTTGCTTGCAATTTTTTTAAACAGCATCCTAGATCACATCACAGGACTAGAAACAACTGGCTAGGACTCTGAAATTTACTGGAAGTTCTCGAATATTTTAAATCCACTTGTCTGAAAAAAACAAACAAACAAACAAACAAACAAACAAAAAAAACCATAGTCCAAAAGAGGACAGATAAATACTAAATCATTTTCTAGGCCTTTATAACATTATATTTCAGGGAAAAAAAATAAAAGAGAGTCCTTATAGTCATTTGTCTCTTTCTACGTCTGGGTGTTTTCCATGCTCAAGTTTCCATGGTGGACTCAGGTTAGAATCATTTTGGATTCCTAAGAATCACTTCTGAAATTTGCAGTAATTAAATTCAGGAGCCTCAATATTCTGGTGAGCCATGAGGGGACTGACTAACCATAAAATATAAGAGACATTGGATAAATGTACACTGAATCAGTGTTCTCCAGATCAAATCCAAAGAACATAACTTCACAGAGAGAAACCAATTTGTATTATCAAGTGAAATTATAATCATGTAAGTATTCTGATATATGTACGCATTCCGACATCAGGAAAGATAGGTGAAGGAAATGTGGCACAAATAGAAATAATGTTTTTCTGATCTTGATTCTCTTTTTTTAAAAAAAGAATTATTTAATTTCCTTCCTTCCTTCCTTCCTTCCTTCCTTCCTTTTTGACCAGAGAGGGAGAGAGTGACAGAGAAACTGAGAAAGCAAACCACTAGGTCTGGGACTCAAATCGTGGTCAGGCATGTGGGAATCCAGTGCCCCTAACCACTACGCCACCTGCCAGCCCCATTCACTGTTGTTATTTAGAACATGTAAACAATAAAACCAAGATCTAAATTCAGTATAATTAATTTTTATTTTCCTCTGCTAACTTCAAGGATCTTAGAGAATGTAAAACTCACTTTTGTCTAACTAGGAATTCATTTTTTCTGCCTCTTTACCATTCTAGTTCAGTATTTCCCATTTTCCTAACCTTACACAAGGAGAACAGAGCATAGTATTGATTCATATGCAGAAAATTATAAAAGAGCACATTTTTGTGCAATGAAACAAAAATGTTTATGCACTTTTTTGTAATAAGATTCCACCAAAATCATTTTATTGAATTCAGTAATTAAATATTTTTAGTACTTACTAACTACACTTTTGTATAAGAAGTCTGACTAACTATATCAAATGTGTAAGATTTTTAGTTATAGAGCTTTTAAAATAAATGCCAAATTTCTTTTTTAAATTACTGTTTATTTAGATTGTCATCTTAAGTTCTTTCTTCCTTATCGTTCTCACACGTATTTCTTCATTCATTCTTTTGCTCATGTAGTCTTTCACTGCATGGAACCCTAAGTTGGCAACGTGTTTTGTCCAGGCACTGGGTGTCAAACCTTATTCTAGTGTTGGTCAACAGGAAATGAAGAGTTTCAGTTCATCAGTCAGCTGCACTAGGATTCAAGTTAAGTCATGTCAATGAGTTCTTACTAAACTGCTAGTTCCTCTGTGGCAAGTTCCCAGGATTATGCCCATTTAAATTTCTGAAAATTTTAGAGTAGATGTGGCAGGTATTTTTGCCACTCTGATCATTTTGTTCAGCTGTTTTGCAGGAATGTTTACCAGGAACATTAAAATCTAAGAATAGACCCAGGATGTCCATATCTTGAGAAAGTTTAAACCCTATATTATTAGCTCAGTTCCTGAAGCTCATAAAGTACAATCTGGGGGGGAACCAGCAGATGCTGTAATGTTTGCATCACTGGACTCCTGCATGGCTGACTGCAGTTCGAGTCCTGGACCCAGTGGCTTGAAACTCACACTAGGCTCATGTGTGTGTACACTGAAAATCCCAAGAAGAAAATGGAGGAGAAGGGATTGCAGCATACATCCCCCCCCCCATGGGGGTGATTTCTCACTTTCTGTCTCAGTGTCTTTCCTGTGAGCATATGCGCCCTATAGGAAAAAAAGTACAACCTAGAGAGGGAGCTTTAGAACAATTGGAACAAAGAGTGATATATTCCTTTTGTTAAAAACAACAAAGATGACCTGGAGCAGATTTTATCACTAGAAGACAAGAACATGGACATATGCTCGATTTTCTCATAGACATGGTATAAAGATTTACTAGACATAGGGATCTTTCAAGCTTGTCTACAAAGTCTTGTTTCCTCTCTAACACATCAGTCCAGTTTCACTTCATTTCAATCAAGCAAATACATGAAATTCTTCTCCAAAATGTCTGTGTTGAGCATTATAGTCACTTTGGGAGTAAATTTCTGTTCTTAGGAGATCACATCAGAAAGGCCAGGTGTGGTGGGTGGCATGCATCTGTAATCCCAGCTACTCAGGAGCCTCAGGTAGGAGGACCCTGGGCTGGAGGCTGGCCTGGCCAACGTGGTGTGGCTCTTTAAAACAAACAAACAAACAAAACAACTAGCCACATTCTCCCACCAAAACAGACAGCATGTTTAGAGCAGGGAGTCTAAAAATAATTTTTGTCAAAGCCCAAAATAGGAATTTTTAAACTTTTCATACAGTTTAATCTGTCACGAATACTCAACTCTGTAGCATCAAAGTTGGCACCATAGACAGTATTCAGATAAATGAGCATGCCTGTGTTCTAGTTAAGCTTTGTTTATGGAGACAGGAAATTGACCTTTTGGATCCGAGGTCATAGTTTGTTGACCCCTGATCTAGATAAACCTGTATTCTGAGCATTGGTAAAATTTCTCATTTTTATCTAGATTCTTACTCTTATTTTACATCCTATCAAATACCAAAATAAACAAGCATATATATCTTCAATAGTGAAACAGATGTAACTTTTCATTTATTACTAGGTATCACTTGTAGAAATCTCCTAAAGTATATCCTCAGAACCTACTGTTTCTTTAAGTTTTTTATTTTTAACATAATTTTTTTTACATGATTAGTGTTTTCTTTGGTTTATTTTACAGCAAGTGCAAATTTAATCTTTTTTTTTAAAGAGAGATTTTTGGGACCAGCAGTTAGCATAATGGCTATGTCACTGGACTCCCATGTAGTCGACTATGGTTCGAGTCCCAAACCCAGTGGCTTAAACTCACGTAGGGCGCATGTGCATGCGTGCTCAAGAACCCAAGAGGAGAATGGAGGAGAAGGGATTGCAGTGTGGCCATCCCCCCTAGGGGGTTATTTCTCGCTTTCTGTCTCTCTGTCTTTTTGTCTTTCTGGCAAACGCACGTGCACTATAGCAAAAACCTCTAAAAAAAAATGAGAGATTTTTACCTTTTTACCATAGAGCATGTGTGCTCGCCAGAGAGACAGAGGGAGACAGATAGAAAATGAGAAGTCATGCCCCAGAGGGATGGCTACACTGCAATCCCTTCTTCTTCATTCTCTTCCTGGTATCTTGGGCACACACACACACACACACACACACACACACACACGTGCCCAGCATGAGTTTGAAGCTGCCGGGTCTGGGACTCAAACTACAGCTGAACACATGGGAGTCCAGCAATGTAACCATTACACTATCTGCTTGTCCCAATTTTTTTTTTTTAAATAATCTTTCTGAGTGAGTGTTTAGGACATTGGAACTATCCTATGGCACATGCCCTACATCAGTTGCCCTCAGACTGCAGTAACTGTCCAATTGCTGTATCTATTAAGGCTGCTGTTCATACCAGCTATTTTTGGAAATCTCTTTCACCATGTCCACACCTCTTTCCACCACACACCAGCACATGAAATATGCTCTTTATGAAGGGCTGAATTCTGTTTGAAATGCCCAGATAACCTTGTTTCTAGAATCAACTAAAATGTCATCGTAAACCCAATATCAGGTCCCCTTGACGGAGGAATAGATTTTATTTCTGGGGATGTAGAATTTACAATAGCTGACTTCCACAGTACTCAAAACCTTGATTGCTTGTTTCTCATTTTTTGATTAGGTTTCAAAACATTGAGGTTATGGCCAGCTGGTGGTGTGGTGGTTAAGACAACTGTATCCCACATGACTGCTATTCGAGTCCTGGACCTGGCAGCTTGGAAAAACACACTGGGCTTGTCTGCGTGCATGCCCAGAGTCCCAAGAGGAGAGTGGAGGAGAAGGGACTATGGTGTGGCCACACCCCCTAGGGGGTGCGTGCATTCTCTCTAATTCTCTCTCTCTCTCTCTCTCTCTCTGCAGTGAGCACACATGCCCTGCAGCAAATTTTAGAAATTGAGGTTAATGGAAATCAGATCTACATGTAAATGAGGAGCCTTCCTAGTAATAGCTCTTTATTTTCCAAGTTGTTTATTTGGAAAAATTGATGAGAGAAATTTTTCTCTTTACTGACTTTTTGGCTTGAAATTTTCTCTACTTCATATCTTATCTCTCTCTAGTACAATTTAGCACAATGGATCTAACAGTGGACCACCTAAAATCATCTAGAAATCATTCAAAAGATAAGAAACCCTAGGTCTTATCTCATAGGGTTTTCTAATCTGTTTGTTTGTGGGGTAGAGATCAAGCATTAGCTATTTTTTGTTTTGTTTGTTTAAAATTCCCAGGTGGTTCTTAAGTTAACCAATGGCTGAGAACTACTGTATTCTTTTTATTGTAATCTGTATGAAACAGATTAATGAAGAGTGGTTTATATTGATACTTCTCTTTCCATTTTGTGGCATTGAAAGCTGACACACAATAAATGTTCATTTATTCAAGGACTTTAATGCTCTTTTGTTTGAAAAATACCATAAGAGTTTAATTCCAAGTGACTGTGTATCTCTGTGTGTATGTGTATATATACATACACTTTTTGGATGGTTTTACCCTCTGAAAAAAGTAATAAGGCTTTAGCTTTCAAGGTTGAGATCTTTTCATCACTTTTCCATGGCTGACTATTGTGCCTTCAATGACTGTTTCTGTTGTCAAGTCATATGTGTGTTACTGTCTTTCTCTTGTTCATAGCACCAGAAGAATGGACCACGACCCGCTCCAGCTTGAAGGCGCCACCACCAAGGTCAGCCAGAGGGGGTTACAGGGAACACCCCTACGGTAGATATTGAAGGTCCTCCTCACCCGACCTCACCTCAAAGACAATTCATAGCCTGTGGTCTCCACAAAAACAGCAACAAGACAAGTAATAGTCCTTTTTGTTTGTTTGTTTTTTTCTATTTTAGGGATAACTGCTCATGAATACTCCCACCCATATATTTCTTGTATTTCCCTCTATACTGTTGGCGTGGCATTTACACTAATATTATTTTACAAAATGGACTGAAAGAGACATTGGCAAGCATAGTCTATAAATCATTCAGTAGGATGATATTCTCTTGGTTGTTTTTCATTGTTGTGTGTAATCTTTCTTTTTCTTTCTTTTATCCTTTTTTTTCTTTTTTTTCTTTTTCTTTTTCTTTTTTTTTTTTTTAAGAAAGAGCATGAATCTGTTAACAGATTTTGAGTCTCAACCAACTAGCAGAGACGTTGTTTAGGGTTGCTAAAAGATTGTAATATGATTTTTGAACTAGCTGATAATAAAGTTGTAGATAAGATGTTTTAACCTGTCTTTTAATATGTCAGTTAGATGAACATGTTCGATATTAAGTTTGTAAATTTAATTTTAAATGCTGTTTTAATGGGGTTGAAAACAAGCAGCTACTGTATGTATGTAGCTAACTGAATTTGTTCAGTGTTTTAACCTGTATTTGTTAAAAAAGAAAAAAAAAACACACATAAAGTTCCATGTGTAAGCTTCTCTAAATAGGAAACCACAATTTGTCAAATATGTTTGCCATAATTTGTCAATAAAGCTGAAAACTTTTGTAAAAACTAAATTTGGAATTACTTGTTTTCTAGCTTTTAAATGCCTGCTTTATTTCTTCTTCAAGAGATGCCTAAAATGTTTTCTATTTAAAAATTACAAAAATGAACCCAAGCCTGTTTTAAGATATTTGTGTAATACTTAAAAATGTATTAATAACTTATGGTTGTTAAATAATTTAAAAGTTAACAAACTAAACTGTTACATGAATCATGGTTAGTAAACACTAATGTATAACATGTTAATGGAAAAAAATGGATTTAGAATAATAAATGGATTTTAAACTATCCTCTAAGCTTTATCTTGCTAAACACAAATTCTGATTGACTTGTTTGCATTAGCATGTCTCTCGTGAGAAAGAGTAATGGAGTATAAAGAGGTAAGATTACCACTTACCACTGTCTAAATGCCTAGTTCTTCAACCTTTGAGTTTCCCCGCACATTAAATATCCCATCCAACATGTAAGCATTGCGTAGATTCACTTTATTGTTTTCACTCAAAGGAGTGCGTGGACTTCATTTGCGTAGTTTCTAACAATTTGTTTTGACAAACAAATCATCAGTGTCACTGGCCAGTTGTTGCTATTCAACCTCAAAAACTTTATTTGTAATTTTCAGTGCTAAATATCACCGCCCTTGAAGGCAGTTTAGAGGGCTGATATTTCTTTTGAGACTATCAGACTTGATGGCTGATGATTATTAAGGAAATATGTCGCAGGACTCAAAGGATGACTAAACGTTAAACAGGTAACACTAATAGTAACTCTGTAATTTTGCCTATGCACCAGTAATGTTAAATATTCTCAGTTATTAAGTTCCTGATAGTTAAAAAAGTAAACCTACAAAAACATAACAAATAGGTCTATAGGCTATTAAAACAACTAATTAACATTAACTAGAGGCATCAAAATTATTTTACAATATATAACCCTCAAGGTAATAAACAGAACTAAAATTAACAATAATAGTAATGCAACTCTTGCTAACACCAAACGTAAGCTAAATTTTGATGGAAAAAAAAAAAAGAGAAAGTGAAATACTTGATGGTAGGGATGAATGCCAAAACTGTTAATCTTTTAAATACAGTTTTTTTGTTTATGGTGGCATTTTGTCGATGTGATTGGTTTACTTTTTTGCTGCTAACCAGCTTAGGCATATTGCTGTTCAGTTTTTCCAGCTGGAGTTGCATGCTAATAGTTTTATGGAGTGTGTGTCTGTCATCAATTATAATTGTAAATATTTGCCTCTCACAAAATGCTGTTGAGTTATATTTAATTTTCTTTTTCTATCTTTATCACTATTTCAGGTACCCACAAGCAAAGAATACATAATTGAATAGCAGATGTGATGAGTTAAGAAGGATAGAGGTAAGCTTATTTTTGGTCTTCTTTGAAATAGGTAGATAATCTTTATCAACAGAAAAACGTGATATAACATGAAGCTATAGCAGTGAGAGAAAACACCAAATGCTGCTTGTTGAAAAGGCTTAGATTGTTGTCAAAGAACTGAATTATTTTTCTTTCTTGAAATAAAGTGATCCTACTTGGTGTTTACCTGGCAAGGCTTTCTGAGCTTATTCAAAAGCTTGTCAAATGAAATAGGAATTAGTAGTTAATCTTTAGCCCTTTTATTTGCTATAAACTACTACAAGAGGCTTTCAAAATGTTCGTGGAAATGTGGAATTAAAGTGTGAGGTTATTTTGGTGCAAAAAATTTCAAAACCCATGTATCATTTTTTTCATGATACACATTTCCATGACTTTTTTTTTTTTTTTGAGAGGTTTTTGCCATAGGGCTTGTGTACTTGCCAGAAAGACAGAGAGAGACAGAGAGACAGAAAGTGAGAAATCACCCCGCATCCCAGGGGGAGATGGCCATGCCATAGCCCCTTCTTCTTCATTCTCCTCCTGGGACTCCTGGGATCTTGAGCATGCACGCACACACACCCAGCGTGTTTAAGCCAAGGGTCCAGGACTAGAACAGTGGTCAACTACATGGGAGTCCAGCAACATAGCCATTACACCAACTTCTGGTCCCTCCATGACCTTTCTGAAGATCCCTCACTTATACTACCACTCCTTAATCGTACAAAGAATATCAACACTGTTACTCTGCAGATACTTGAGAACATAATAACAATCACTAGCAAAGATGGAAGGAAGGAAAGGGAAGCCCCGTAACCAACCTCTCATCTCCCTTGACCCAAAATAATTAATTACCTATTACCATTATTTTCTCCCTGTTGCCCACTGGATTGTTCAATGACCTTCTTGTTTCTCTTCTATAATCCTATGTTATTTAGCAAATAGTTATTGGGTACAAAGCACTACTGGAAATTGAAATTTATCTTGTGCACACGAGTAGCTGAAATCTTTAGCCAATAAACATGAGACTGAAAATAAAATAAAATACAAGGACAGTTATGAAATCCTTAGTCTAACCTGATACTTAGAGAATTAAATTGACTTGATGTGATGTTTTAAACAGGTTAAAAAGCCTAAATTTTCTCTTTCTGCATTTTATCCTATTGTATTACATAAATATCCATCACACAGGTTAGCCTCAAAGAAGGGTAGGAGACATATGAAAGATGGAGAGCCATTATGACTGGAAGGACAGAGGCCAAGCCAGTCATTACAGTGGACTGGAAGGAAAAGAGTAGCTCCTCATTGGTGAGTCAGGGAGCACCTCTCTTGGAGGTAATAAGTAATAGTGGCAATTCATGGTGTTAGAAAAGTCCAATAGGTATTTGAGAAGAAAGCAGAAGACCAGTGAGCCCTGAGGGCCACTGTGTGAATGCCAGCCTAGATTTAAGTCAGGTTCCAGTTGTTACTAAGTGCTGTGTTGAATCATTCAGTTTGTATAAAAGAGGAAGCCACATTAGGTTGGAAATAAAGAATGAAAGCTATTCTTAAGGAAACTAGCTCAGAGAACCAAGATAAAACTCACATTTAATTAATTTATAATACTAACTGCTGCTTCACCTGAAGTAGCTTTTCTAAAAAATTTAAACTATTAAAATAGTTATTTAATACTGCATGTGCTTCAACTAAAGTCCTTTAACCAGCAGAACTGAAGATCAGAAGTTACAGAGAGAAATTTGGAAATTTTATTTTATCACTAACATTCCATAATCTCATTGGACTGTTTTTAGATGTTACTGTTTTAGGAAGGAGGAAACATCTCTAATCCAGATAGCCTGCTTATTATTCTCCATCCTTTTCAAACACTAGTCTTGATCTGTAAAAGTAATGAAAGACAAACCAGCTATAGGTTGTTACAATTTTGATGTATTAATCAATGCCTTTTTATTTTCATTGTAATTAGTTGATTTGATTGTTGTGCATTTGTAATCCTATGGCTCTTTCATCATTCAGACTAGATTTCTGTAGGCATTATCTCTCAGCAAGGTTATCACAGCAGAAATACCAGTGCTTAACTAGAAAACTTTTTTTATATTTTATAATTTTTAACTTATAAATAATGGTCATATAATTATAAAGTAAAATGTGATAGTTTAATACATACATACAATAAGTTATGATCAAACCAGGACAATAAACTTATGCATCATCTCAACCATTTGTTGTTACGCTGATTGTGGACATTTGAAATACTTTCTTCTTAATGATTTGCAAGAAAGGGGATTTTGAGTTTCAAAAGTCTGCATTTTGAGTAACATAAGTTTGATGGATTTTGAACATAAAATGTATGTGTTAAATAACGGATTATAAAGACTCTCATCTACCTGCCTCCATACATCTACAAGATAAAGATCGTCCAGGCTTTGACGAAAACACAAGTACCAACAATACCTAAGATGTTAATGTGGCCTTCAATATGGGTCCTTTCTGCCATGGCAGTTATTCAATACCATCCCCAGATAGGTGTGGTGACAGAGGCCCTCTGTCTCAAGTGGAGCCTGAGGAGGCAACAAGTCCTTCACACCATTGTGTACCAGATGAAATCTTGTATTAGTGGCTGTGACATGTTTCCCAGGCTGGCAAGAGTGGAGCAGGTGTGTTAAAGAGAGACACACACACAGCCTTTCCACAGGAAGACAAGGAGGTGCAGTAGCCTCAGTGTAGACCAACACTGACAAAGATGCGGATTTATCAGAGGACACAGCATTCAAAGGTGAGAAGACCAGCTGCTCGCTGTCACCAGCACCTACAGAAATTAAACACAATCAAGGAAAATGATCAAGAAAATATAAGACTGAGTTGACAGAAGAAGTCTCCACCCAAATTAATTTGAATTGACTGAGTGTTTCTCTCCACCTGGCAGAATGGGCACTTGAGTTTGAAATCAAGTTGAGGTATAGAAAAATACAAATATACATAGATAGTAGAGTTATTTACCATATAACTTGCAGGAATCTTAAGATAATCAGAAATTAATATGGTAGACTTATTAATGCTGCAATGATCAGAACACTGATGACTCTGTAACTGGGAACTCACTAAAACA